TACTTTCGCTGTCATGATTAATATTATCAAGTTCTTCCCTTGCTTTATTAGTTTCAACTTCATCTAATAGAGAGCGCAGATGCCCATTTCTTTTTTTATATCCTTTTCATTTACATTTATATATCATAATAAGTCGTACAACACGGCAATCAAGACTATTGAGTCGTTCATAGGGGAAAAGTTGTCTGTTCTTAGAAAATATTTTGGAACAAAAGTAGTCGCGCGAGGAACTCAATCACCCCAAATACCTTAAGTTTATAAAAAAACGTTTGCCATGGGAGATATGTGTGCGACAAATACATTTTAGTTCTCATGAGGGATAAATTTATAAAAAAGTTATTGTAATATTTATTTTGTGAAACGTATGTATCAAATTACTTTTATTTACGAATTTTTGATTGAAGGGGAGACAATGATCAAATTGTATTTTTAAAGTCAGTTTTTTGTATCTGTTTAACGTAGCCTTATAAACTAGTCGATGAAATAGGAAATATATATTCTTTATTAAAATGATGTGAAGAAAGATGATAATCTAAGAAAAGCATTGGTTTGAACTTATATATTTCTACATGGACATACGTCCAGGAAAAATGTTCTTCAAATGCGATTTTGGTAATATTCGTTCCCACAAAAGTTTGATTCTCTTTTTATAATCCAGGTAAAGTTTTTTGTTTTGTTATTATATTTTATGGAAAAGAAAAAAATAAATAAATATTACTATAAAACTTGTTTTGTAATTCAATTAATCGATTCGGTGGACTAGTTGGTTTGTCGTAGACCTTGTACGCCACAAAGTTTACGGGTTCGACCATGGTCCAAGCCGATGGATTTTCATGACGCAGAAAATCACTATCGTATGATTATGTGACATGTAAATGATATGTTAATGCAAGTTTTTGGCTTGGATGATAAAGGCAAAATTAAATTCTTAGCACCATTTCACTTCGTCAGAGCTCAGGTGCCTCCTTCTGGGGAGGAAGCTGTGCGTCAAAATTACATTGCGCGGTGATTGGTATTTCATTTATGTGATTCCCCTCCAAGAAAATGATACCAGTTCCAGGGGAATGCACTAGGTCTGCAATGGTAAACAATCATCAGCAGCTTCATTGGAAATAAATATATTAAAATTTAGTGTAGGTTTGAGAATATCCATTTGAATATTTTATGATGCAACATTTAACTTTATTTTGCATTTAGTATTAATTTTATAATAGTATAAAATAAATTGAGCTTTAACGTATTTATAATAGTAAAAAAGTACATCCTGATAAGATTAAAATAAATTAAAAATAACTAATATACATAATTTTAATTGAAATGAGTATTAACTGCACGTGATTTGAAGCTTAAGTATAAAGGCAACATAAATTGACTTTTAAAGAAAATTGCTCTTTAATGGAAAAATACTTAATAAATACGTCTGAATTGTAAACATGTTTACAGAAATAAGGCTCAATTTAGGATAAACATGGTTAACTATAACACATAAGCTATGTAAAATCAGTGTTTTCGTAAAAGTTTTGGTAATTTTTAATGAAATTACAAAATGTGGTGATTAATGGTTAAATTTTCTGTAAACCACTCACTTAGTTTTTTGAGATTAACTAATAGTGTGTGCTTCCTCTGCAATCAGAAATCTTCTTTTTCTTTGTTACACGAAGATTAAAGGATTGTTCTGCTTTTCAAGCAAGGGAATTGGAGAGCAAATACTAAATTTAATAGAAAATTAATAATACTTGTGTGAGTCTCTCACACACAGAAACAATAATGATTAACAAAATAAAATAAAACTAGTTCATTTTAAGTAAAGATGATGATGTTTTTATATGTATAGAAATGACCTTCTTTTATGATTTTGGCTTCGCTAAATAAAAATATGATACTGAAAAACAAGGGTAATCACTAAATAAAGATATAATTTGCAAATTCGAGAAAAAAAACTACATCTATTTCTAGACGAAGCCCATTTAAACTTAAATGTACTTATTGAGTAATTAAACTGAATAAATATCCAGATTGAGAGAGAAGAAACTATTGATGAAAGATTCTTTGGCTTTTAAGATTTATCGCAACCTATTGAAGGCATTATATGAAACGAAATGCGTGGTTTCCGATTCTACGCATACGACACATGCGAAATTGTCGAATTATCTTGAACGTTGACGATTGTTTCGATAATAAGTAAGTACCGATTCTTTTTTTATAAATGCATATGAAGCGTTTGTAAAAGTATTTGTTAGAGGACCTCAGACAATTTAAATGTCTTGTACATAGCTTGGAAATATGAAGCCTTCCAGAGCGATTTGAGTTGTCTTCATAGAAGCAAGAACTCGTATTACTTTATATTCACCTGCTTAAATAATGTCAAATTGAAAATTTATAGTGTTACAAAAAGTACTGTATAAAAATCTGTAACTTTCAGAGGTTGTAGGTGATTATAACCAGGTGTATATTTCAAAACATAGAACACTACATAATATAAGATGGCAACACTATGCAACATATACCTCTTATCTCTACACCTTAACCATTTTCTTACAATTAATGTTTGTAAGCAGATGGTTTTGACTTGTCGTTAGTCAAACTTATATTGTGCTAGTTGTCTAATAGTTGTTATTACTGTATTTGCTAGCACATATGTTGTTTAATATTTTCTGTTGTCTTTATTTTTATTTGCAATTGTTTGAGCATGAAACCTGAGAATCCAGTTATGTTTTGAAATTTTAAGATCGAAAAAAATACCGTTTATTGAAACAGAACTATGCTAAGTAGAGTAAAAGAAAAACATTAATGTTATTCTTCTTTTAGACGCTTATATCATTATCTTTCCATTTTTCCAGTAAATAGCCTCATTAATCTTTGCATGGTTGTGTTGCGATATGAAAATAAACTGAATTTTTGAAAACGAGAAAGCAAAAGTTGCGAGTCATAGCGGTACTTATTACGGAGTTTTACTAAAGTACGAGGTTATATTGTATTCTCATCACGTATACAGTTTCATAAGATATTATTTAACATTTCTTTTTTAATCAGCATATAAAACTGCAAAAGATTGACAATTAAATAGCGAAAATAAAACATAATGTAAAGTTGAGATTCTTTCTTTTTTCATCTGTGAAATAAAATGGTGTGCTTTGTGGGGATTTTGCTTTAAATATTTTTTTAAAAAGTTAATTAAATTAATGCTATTTGACATATGAAGAACATAAAATCTTCAATTTAGAAGAAGAATCTTGACAAGGTGCACTTCAAAAGGTGAGGGGGAGAAATGAAGAACATCATTAATAGGGATATTAAAAATAGGGGCTTTACTGAAGAAAAATACCACTGTAATTGAGAGAGAGAGAGATGGTAACTACAATATAGCATACACACTTTAAAAAAAAGACAACCCATTAAGTGATGTGGAATTCATGAAAGAACGTAATGTTGATTTATTGGATATGTTAGATCCAGAAAAAGTTAATAAATACAAACAATTGACTCTTTCAAGAAAAAGTGTGGTTGATACACATCACGAATTAGCTTAAAATGTTACACAATAATTTCGTATAATTACACAAAATGAAGATGTTTATTTTTTTTTAATTTCTGACTCTGACGAAAGCACTAGTAATTCATTAACCAGAAAAAGACCACTTTAAGATGAGTATGCCATCAATTACTATTAAATGTTAGTAATTTAGTCAATGTTTTTCACCTCCATCACACCTTCAGGAGAGGTTAAAAAAAGGAGGATTCTTTGATTTTTAAAGAACAATTTAAACTTTAACAATTTGATATCATTTCATTGTTTTTGAATCTTTGTTAAAAACAGATTGTTTTGTAAGGCACTCTGGATAAAGTCATTGTTATTACAGACTAGATTAGCGTAAATGTAAGCTTCATCGTAAATTTCAGCAGTTGCTAACTTCAGATGAAGAAACTTACAGTGTCAATCTAGCTTTTCATGGCAAGATTGACACTGTAACTCAACAACACAGATTGTGATGAAACTTTTATAACTCTTCGACAACAAATTGTAAATTTTTATCACGAAATCTTGTATGATATATAAGTTGAAGTATTTTGCATAAACATAAAACAAGACAAAACAAAATAATTTAAATATTTGTCAACAATGTCAAATGAACTGTATATTTCAAATATGGCAAAAAATTCAAGCATTTAAACAAAAAAAAAATAATAAAAGAAAAACACATCAATATTTTTCAAAAAAATAAATAAAAATCGCCAACTAGCTGCAGATCACTTTCCGAACTAGAAAAAAATTCAAATATTCAGAATCGTAAAAATAAAGGGTTTAATGAAAATGTAGGGGTCTTGGATTCCTGAACAGGATGATGAACTAAAATTTTACAAATTTTTATAAAAACACTTTCGCTATGAAACTTATATTTAAGCCACGTTTAAATGATGTATCCGAGGTTCTCACAAAATTACAAAGGAAGTTATTTCAGTTAGAGGAGGATGCTTTCCTGAAACCCGTTTTTAATGCTAAAAAGGATTCTATAGAAATTTGATTATAGAATAGGATTATAGAATATAGGATTATAGAAAATTTCGATTCAATATCTCTGTCTTTAAAAATATATACATATACTGTTTACTTCTATGTTATGAGAGAATTTCTTGCGCTATGAATTAATATTTTCCATTATGGCAGAAGCTAAAACACAATTTATGAACACAAATTGCAAATTAATCCAAATGTACCATTACCTTAAACCCAGAAGCAAATACAAATATCATACTTACTTAAATATATCATCAAATTGTAAAATTATGTTCTTACAACTATATTAGATTTTTTTGTTTTAGTATTTGAATTTTTCTACTGCATTTCATTATAATGCAATACATGTAATTATTATACTTAAGTTAATAATAATTGTTTGTAATTACTCGCAAAAAGAAAAATCTTCCATATCGATTGCGCTCTGCAGATTGTGACAGAATTAGAGTTACCAGATTGCATCACCAGGAGGTCTATCACATTACATGGACACCTTCGCAAGTACTGATCGCGCCGGAGGATGCTTAACTTCGGTGATCGGATGAGAAGAGTTGCTTTCATCACAGTATGACTGTTGAAAAAAGGTTTGCTCTTATGTGTCTGGTAACATCTACGATAGATACAGAAGAACCATAGAGCAGTTACAAGCTCTATAATCTGACTTTTTGATTGTATTTATGCTTCTGTTTTTCTTATGTTTTTTGATTATTTGTTTTATTGTTTATTTGTTGTTTAATTTGTTGTTACTCCATGTGTGTTTGAGCGGAGTGTTTCACTCCAGCGAATGATGTATTTATCAAATGTTGCTGTTAAAAATAAATAATTATTTTGCGATGATATTTATTATAAATTTGTATTCAAAATTTAAAGATATAAATAGATTTATAGCTGTCCTAGAACAAACAGTGGTGTCTCTTTTAATAAGGCCTATTTAAAATACGGCTCCTAATATTATTAATGTTTTCCAACTCTGGTCTTCGCATCTACCTTTTTTACTTTCTCTTTATTTATAATACTATTATAGTCAAAAAGTTGACGTGCACATCGAATAATTATTTCGCCTATTAATAAAGTTTCAAATTAGACTGAGCTGATAGAAATTGATTGAGTAGAAATCAATTAGTAGAAATTAAAGTGAAATGATAGTAGCTCAGTTGAACTCGTTTAGTTGATATGTGTTCAAAGTTATGAACCCCTCGAGAGAAAATGTCTTATATTTTTTAGAGTAGTATGAATTCAAATTAAACTAAATCTGACAAACGTAACAGTAGGCAATTCTTTTCTAAAATATACATGGCTTTCTTGTTATTAAATTAAACCAGCCATTTAAGATGCCAAATTCGTATAACGTATTATTTCTTCCATTTCAGTATACATGGTATGTAATATGCATGTTAATACTGTGAAAAAAATAGAAAAAATGCTAATAAATTAAATGAAAGATGAAATTCGTTACTTTCTATTGCTGTTTAATTTCTGTTTAATAAAGATTATAAGCGAAATCGTTCCAAAAGCCAAACCTTATTTTCAAAGGGGATTTTCCGCAAATGGTTATATAGTTGTTCTAAATAGATATTTTTATGAGTAAAAATTATTTTTACTTTAATACCGAATTATTTTTTTAAAGCTCTTATGATAGATATATTGTTATCTATTATCTTTATATATTCGTTTTATGCTCCGATTTAGCAGCTTTCGTAATGCAAAAAGTTACTGTAAACATTTTTTTTTTAATCTAAACATTTTATTTTCTTTTTCAAATATTTTTAGGATGAAAACAATTTTAAGGTTATAAAGAATTTAAACTATTTAAAATTTCAATATTTCACCTAAAAGAGAATATCCTCGAGGATTTAAACGATTATTAAGGAATGTGGTAAAAAATGGAGTCTGAAGCTTACACCTTGCATTTACACTGAATCTATACAGACAATGTGAATGAATGACCCTGACGAGAATGAAGAACAGGAAAAGTTTCTAAAAGTAAAAAATAAAAAATGCGACAGTTCTTAGAAGTCAAAGGACAATCACTTCAACTTCGTCATGCATCACAGAGTAACTACAAGTGTACCGACTACCCACGAATTGCGGAGGGTTGTCAAACTACGGTCGCGGTTTAAAGACCTATATTTTTACTCAGTTTTTCTCACAATTATAGTGAATAATTCGAATGAGAAAAATTTATATTATTTTCTTTTTTTGATGTATCTCATGGGCGTCTGAATTTATGACTGGAACAAAATTTAAAAAAATAAATGTTTACCTTGACTTCCAATTCAAGTTAATATGCGATTTAAATGCAAGTGCGAAAAGTTTTTTAGCTATTCGCAGGGTTTCGTCTAAGATATGGATATAAAAAGGGCATGTTTTGCTTGCATCGCATGCTTTTTGCAATGGTATAATAGTTGAAAAGAAGCACATAACAAAATATTTTGTTGTTTTTTCTCTAAATAAATGCAAATATGTTTTGATGTCTGGGTTAATAATGAAATAGTTCAAACAGAGAGAGAATCCTATTAATAAACTTAAGGAAAACGTTCCATAAAAAAAAGAGTGCATTGCTACACAGTAAACATATGTAATAAATATGTTAATATAATTCTTCATCACTAGAAAAGGAAGCACCATGTTTTAAACTGAAGTATACTGTGCAGCAGTGACGAAAATAGACTTAACATGTAGATGAAACCACCGAAGAGTATTCTCTGTGGTAAAAATTTAAAAATGTGTTGGTCTGTGGAGGGTTGAACACCGATTGAACTTTGTGCGTGTCAGTTCTGTGCACCCTGTAAAAGTTATGGAAATTTTTGTTTAATTTTAAAGATAAAAGTCTACACACAATAACTTGTAATGATTTATAACTAATGTAATCATTTTTTAAGTTACTTATGCGTATTTTTTTCATTTGTAATCCTGCCAAAAGAAATATTAAATAATTTATTATTTATTTTAATGATAAGAAGAAGATACATAAAATATAGCTTTTTCGAAATAAAGATTTTTAAATAGATTTTACTGAAGAAATATATATATATATATATATATATATAGGTCAATTCTCTACTAACAAGAGATCACATCCAAACAATAAACTCAACAAACACATAGACAGCAGGAAAATCACACAATGAAGGACAAAAGAGTAATCGAGATAATAAATATAAAATGGATGCTGCAGTGCCATGAACAATACTGACTTAGGACAGTTAGTATATAAAATATATATATATATATATATATATATATATATGTATATTGTGGTATATATTTATAAATCGTAAGCCAAAGAAGGAAAGGTGCCCGAAATTGAATGCATCATCTTTAATAATAATGGAACATCACATTGAAAATTTTTGTTTATTAAACTTATTTGCCGGATTGAAAGATTTAATCAGGCAAATTTGTTGAAAAAAAGTCAATATCAGACGTAGAGATGGACATCTTGAATTGGCATCCTGCTCCCTAAATTTGAGCAGCATCAATGAGAAGACTTATGACACAATTAAATAAAACCATAAGAAAAAAATTATTTAAACCGCATCATTCAGGTTACACGATGGTCTTTGTTTAAATCTATGAGTTCCGATATTGTAATATAACTCATAGTTTCAAGTTCCTTATCCCGGTTTCACCATAATATACATTAGCACTTATTGAAATCACATCTTTTCAGAATTAAATGACACATTAAACAGAATCATTATTAACTTTTTTTTAAAGATAAAGATAATTTTTTTTCAGTACTGTGCCGTTATTAAGGATAGGTATTCCGTAACATGTGAGAAATTTAGTACTTCGAAGTATTTTCGATACCAAAATATATTTTCATACTTTCTAAGCATCTTCCTTTGCTAGTGATCACTCTCAAAATTGAAATAATATTACAAACATTATTCGAAAACTATGTTTCAGCATTATTTTGCATTATAATGACATGGGTGATTGAATGTTTATTAACTTCGAATTATGCCAAAACAGAGATTCTGGTGAAGGACCTCATAAGCTTGAACCATAGCAAATTGTCGAGAATGACACTTGATCTTACACTCTCCTTTCTGAACTTCCACATCACATCAACGGGAGAACTTTGAGCCTCGACATATTTAAAGTGCATCAGCGTCTCTACAAGGCAAGTGGATCTTTAGTGACATTAAGGCTTCAACTAATGACACGACAGCTCCCAGTCTATAACCATGAACGCTAATATACCACGACCAATAACATTTTGATTGAAATCAACAGAGCAGTTATTTTTTTGATCACTTTTTAGTCTTAAACGGTATAAGATTGTGACGGGGCTTTACGTGAATTTCTGTTAATCGTCTTGGGGAATCTTTCGGGGCAGCAATCGAGTTATTTCACAGCCATCTCTCTAAAGAAGAAACCATGATATGCAAGATTAGCTCAGTGCTTCTCAAAGTTTCAAAATTCGCGACCCAGTATTCAATCATAATTTTCATCGCGCCCTCCTCCACACAATAGTAATGCATTGAATTCAATAATACTATACTTTGATGTTAAAACTGCGATACGACTGTAACCTCTAAAGTGCCATCGGCATTTATTAACGTCTCGCTCAGCCAAAGCATTAATTTCTCCTGGCGTAAATATACGTCTTTCCGTAGTACGATCTTTTCTGTGCACTGTTATTCATAAAATTTTTCTGAAGGTTTTGGAATGCAATAAAAGGACCTTGTTTGTGAAGGATTTACTTATTTCAGATAATTTCCTTCTTTATTCCTCCTCCCTCCCCAATATATCCTATACGCGCGCCTACGTGGAAAACGATTGGCATTGGGAAGCTAATACCGTAACTTTTATTTGGCAGTTAAGGGATTTATTATAAACCATACAAATTATCAAGATAAGTGTAACTTTTTGTATATAATTTTATGTATGATAATCCCATGGGGTCATTGGTAATTATTAAACTTGTTCTTAACTTAATTTTGTTAAATTAGTTGTAAAATACATTATGTAGCACTGATACATTTATAAGTGTAATATATCAGTGTAAATGTGTATTTTATTTTTTGTTATGTCAGAATGTATTTTGTTTGTTTACTTTCAGTATATAAATTAGTTTTTTTTTTAAATAATCTTCTGTTTTCGACTTTTCAATATGCTCGCGCCCCCTCGTAGAGTTGTCAAACCCCCAAGGGGGCGTGCCCCACAGTTTGAGAAACGCTGGATTAGCTAGTATATATATATAGTGGAAGTTTAATAATTGTAGAGAGAAGGAAAAGTACACACACGCACAAGCGTACGTGCGTGAACGTGCGTGCACTTGCGTGTGCGCGTGTACGTGTGTGCGTACACTCCATTTGAGAGACAAATTATTTGAATACTAAATATTAAAAAGATAATTGCAAGTTTTGAAGCAAAAAGAGATGGAAAAAATATTTATAGCAATGTATCCTGAGGACTGCATTGTAAAAAGGGAATCTTAAAGGCAGCTAAACTCTCATTTTTCGGTTTACACGAATGAGTTGAATCCCGTGGTTTATAATGAATAGAAATTTTAAGTCAATTAATAATTAATTGGTATACCTCTAAAACACTTGGAAAGTGTTA